GGTGTATAGAAAACAGCAATTCAAGGTGGGAAGCTGATCCCACCTGTGGTACCAAAGGCTGGAAGAAACCTTTTGTGGAGTGCACTGGAAATCTCTTCTGAAAAACATGATCTCCTTCCTAATAAAAGTCAGGTCTGAAGCCTATCTGTAAGGGATTAAATATTTAATCACATTTAATACCCCTTCTCCAACTTATTTTTAGCAGCAGCTCTTTGCAGTTTACTGTTAGAACATGATAAATCCTTCCCTCTGTCCCAACTTATCTTAAATCTGTTGTTTCCTAGAGGTGATATTGACTTCTAAGAAAGGCAGTACGTGAGGCAGGGTGGAGTAAAAGGATTCTATTAAATGTAGATGCTTGTTCCAGTTTAGAAATTATTTTTCCTGTCATCCTTAGAATGGAATAGAGGCCACAGTGATATCTTAGAAATACAAGTATGTGTTTCTGGGGTAAAGTGCATTAATGTGCCAAATTCCMCAGCATTTCCCATTTTTCAGAACTGCAATGAAGGCAAAAATAGAACCAGTTTCTGGAACCTTTTAGTTAGAATAGAACTTCTTCCTGAAATCCTGAGTAAGTCAGAAGAATAGGTTTATTTTAATTGATTTTGGTGCAGGATCTCTGAAAGCAGATATTATGTTTTCTCTTGAAAAAAAAATCCCCTGAATGTGAAGATCCTGATATTAAATACAAASTTTTCAAATTACTGATACTCTGAGCAACATGTATGACTGGGGAATTCAGTCAAAGCAGAGGTCATTTTTAAGCACAACTGCTGATGCWTAATTTGGTTTTTCAGGAGGAATTWGACGTGRCTGRCTGTAATTAGACAAAACCATTATTCGATCATGTGAGTAAATTGAAAAATGTGGGAGTTTGTTTTGAAGTAAAGGTAAATTCTCACAATCTGCAYAGTGCCAGTTGTGGTTTGCAGAGAGCAAAATAAGGTCAGTCCATCCCTGCCTGGATGCAAAACTGTTCCACAATGAAGCCTCACACACAGTCTGTTTCATGTTATCGTGCCTTTTATTTCTGTCTTTTTGTTTAAATTCAAACCAGGAAACTTCAAATTATTAAATAGCTCCAATATTTTGTTCAATGTCTTGTAAATATTGTGTCTTGGAGCAACCTGGTCTAGTGGAAGGTGTCCCTGCCCATGGCAAGAGGGTGGAACAAGATGAGTTTTGAGGTCCTTTCTAACTCAAACCATTCTATAATAAATAAATAGGGTTTTTTTTTGTAATGTGGTTTCCTTGTGCTGTCCTTAAAACAGACATCGTAGCCTCCATTGTGAAAGTACTTCTGTTTTTCCTAAAATATTTGCAGTCACACTGGAATATCCATTCATTTTTGAACCCTCAGTTGAATCTGTGAAGTCGATGGAGCTCATCCTGTGGTGATACTGTGGCCAGCATAGCTTGTACTGTGGTGGGGAATCCTGCTGCTTGTCCAGCAGCTGCCCACAGTTTGATAATCTGTTTCTGATAAGATTATCAGGAGTGAAATCAGTGGATCTTGTCTGCAAGCAGATTCACTGATTTAAATACAGAGCTGGAAGCTTGGGAAGCAAGTCTTGCTATATTAATAACATCTTCTCCCAGCATGAAGTGTTAGTGTCAGAGGAGTCATGAAATATCATCCGAGATCAAAATTTTAATTATTGGATTAGAGAATTTATCCAACATCCCATATTGAAGGGATTCTTCTTTGGCTCATGGAAATGCTTTACTCTCAGCAGAAAACTATTTTGCATGGGTTCAGATTTTAAATGCTTCGTTTTGCAGGGGCAAGGATGGGCAATTAACAATTTTAATAGGTTCTGCAGACCTTTGCAGTGTTACTAGAGAAGTTCCAGGGTTGTTCACCCCACACTGCTGGTTCAGTTCAACTCTGCCACAGTGTGAGGGAAAATAACACCGAGTATTGCCAAGGGTACTGAAATCTGCTGGTTTTCAAGGAAATGTATTGCTGTAAGCTCAGAGAATGACTTCTGAATTGTGTAACTAACAATCATGTTGAAATTAGTAAATTTTCTTGCATCAAATATATATTAAATCCCAATGAAATCTTATTTTCCAGTATGTAAGATAGTGGGAGTTGAGGCATTTTGGACTCTGGGATCATCCTTCTGACAGACCAAATGACTAGAGTATTGTGAACCAGGAAATACTACCTTTTAAATATACAATAATGGCTTATTTTGCTTAATAATAGTTTTACTGCTTAGAGGTGCAGAGCAAAGATAAGAGAAGGAGCCTTGGCTGTTAAATAATCTCTATTTCATCACCTCCCCTGACTCTTGTGTTGCAATTAACGTTCAGCACTGGTCGAAGTGGTGTAATCTCCCTTCTCCCTCAATTCCTTTTCTTTATGGGGAAAATCTTAAGGACTTGATTTTATTGGGATGAGTTCAAGGACTGTTCATTGCTTCCTTGTTGAAGGTGAAAGGTCTTTCATTGATCTGTGAGGCTACCAGTTCTGTTTCTGGGCTCTTTGAGTTTGTGGTTCTTTGTTTGTTCGTGTAGGTTACAATCTATAAGTAATTTCAGGAATAAAACTGATACCTGCAGTAATTTCATTTTTGGAATAATGTCTATTAGCCATTAGATGACAACATTTCCTCTCCTTTTTTTTTTACCATTCTATTCAATATAATGTAGAAATAAATTTCGTTCAATTATTTGTGCAAAGATCACTACAGAATTAAAAGCTTACCCTAGGAAAAATTATTTGTGCATCCCTTAGAAGGATTTTGTTGGATTCCTTCTATAGGCTTCACTCCCAAYTGGGGTGGACTCCTATAGGAAATCAGTTTTTCAATGTATTTGTTTCTTTCAGATTCTTGTTCAGACATCTTACATCCAAGCTGGCAGCTAAGTAGGAGGAATTTCTGCTGTAGTAACAAGCTCTTTGCAGTTTGGGCTCTTCTTAAGCTCTCTCACTGGTGGCAATAATTCATTTTATGGGAGATTAACACCTATATGTACTTATAAAATCTGACCTGCAACCTACTGCCCAAAGGAGCGAGTGAGAAAACAGGGAAGCTGTGCTTCATTAATAATTATTTTTAATTGACACCTTCAGTACATTGCACATTATGGACTTTTATCAGAGAGAAACATGCTGAGCCAACCAGTGAATCACCCAGAAGGGCAGAGGTGTGGGAGGAGGTGTTTCCTTGCCCCTTTGGGCTGCCTCAAGGGCTGTTTTAGGACATCTCCAGCTTTGTCCCACTGTTTCAAGGGTTAGCAGGTAGAGGAGATGATGCACAGGCTGTGTTCAAACCCAGAGCTCAGCAGGGATTCTCTGAGCTCCCCAAACCCCAAATGCTGCTTTCTCCTGCCCTGTTTCTCCTGCCCCATGCTGGGTTTGTTGTGCAGGGTTTCCCCCACACACACCCTTGGTAAAGCACCAGGAAGAGCTGTGGAAGGTGCACTTGCAGRCAGAGAGGTGGGATGGAAAATGTGATCTCCAAATCCATTTGTGGTTTCGTGTGTTTGCCAGAAAGCCTGTTCCACTCTGATTGCATGGGAAGGGAAGCCCATTATGGATTTTCATTGTTCTCYTGAGCTGCTGTGCTGCAACCACTGTTCCTTTTGCACAATAATTCAGCATTCACCACCTTCATGGCCTGAATAAAACCATTACTATAGTGCTGCCTTTTTTTTTTCCCTTCTCCAAGCCTGCTGGTGACTTTGGGAATATTCACTGCCTGCTTGTTTTCTYACAGAGGGTGTTGATACATTGGCTCATCTTGACTGATGCCCTTGACTTTAGAAGATAAATAGCAAAGTGGAGATAGGTGCCAAGGATTGATTAGCAATTCTGAGTCAAAACGTAAACACTTGTAGATAAGCCTGCAGAATGCRCCTTGGTGGAATTAAGAGCATGTTTTAAGGTGCAAGAGGAGCTTTCTGTGGCTGCCAAGATACAAATCTTAATTTGAGGCTTCTTGTTGAAAGCTTGTGTTTGCCATTGGTTTATTCTCAGAAAATGAGTTTCCTAGTTTTAATGGAAAAATCATTCTTTTAATACAAATTGTTAACGGATTAAAAAAATGCAAACTGTAATTTGGGCAGTGAAAGATTCTTGTGTTAAACTGAGCTTAAACATATGTWATTGTACATTTCCATGAGGTTTAATTGATGTCTTTGCTACAAACTTGTTTGTTTCAGACAATGAGAGGTGAGGAAARAGTAAATAGGGACTGATGTGCCACATCCCAAATTCCATGTCCAAAGCATGGGTTGGGTGAAATCCTGCTTTACTGGCAGCCAATGGGGGAACTTTGTGCCAGAGGATGTTGGATGTCCTAAACACATCTGGATGCAACAAACAAAGCCAAAAATGTGATCCCCATTTTGGGATGGTGTCTGCAGAGGAGTCATGGGCAGCTTAGACMGCCTTTGGGAGTCATTTTTGCTGGRAGASAGTGCAAWGGGAATACWGTATTCCCGGWTTTTGGAAGARTTTAGGATGACACTCAGGTTTCCCATGGCTTAGCCCAGGCAGCCTGTCCGGTGCCCTGCTCACCTCCTGGAGCTTTCCTGCCCTTGGGCATCTCCCTCCCTCCTTGTGACGCTTCGTGTGCTGCCAGGAATTCCTCTGGCAGCAGAGTTCTCCTGTCTTATTTCCTTGTCTGTGTGCAAATGAGGCAGGGGAGGATGGCAGCGTGGAAATGTCCCTGCATTCCTGAGGAGGAAAGGGTTTAGTAGCTCCACCACAGCTGGCTGCCTGCAGAAACAAATCATTCTCCTGGTTATCACATTCCATGTTTAGCAGTGCAAATAACCCAGAATTTGTGATGGATAAAGTGTGCAGAAAGGGAAAAAAGTTACTGTCACAAGTGGCATAAGCAGCCCTTTATCCCATTACCTCATTCCTCTTGTATTTTCCTGGTGCATTCTGTGCCAGCACTCCCTGGGTGTGTTAGGGGTGGGTGGTGGGCTTTGTGTGCGTTACTTTTTTAATGAATTGTGTGCAAAATTTCTCTTTTCAGTTGTGTATGAGCACCGGTCAAGATTAGAAAAGTCATTACAAAAGGAAAGGCTGGAACATAAGAAAGCAAAAGAAGGTAAAAGTGGGCTTTTCACTTGGACRTTTAACTTGATTATAGTAGAAAGTAATTGCAAATGTCCAACTCATTTAAAATTTCTTCAATTGTAAATGAGTTGTATAATATATTAGCTATACATTAGCATCCACTTGGCAGAGCTGTGCTGGTCTTTTTAGTAGTTCTTTTTTATTTAATCTTCTTTAATCAGATCTTTTTAGAAGTAATAATCTTTTTAATACTGTTTACAGATCACTTCAGCATGAAATAATATACCCAGAGAATATGTTTGGATCCCTGTAGATAAACCCAACACATACATGGGGTGTGGGCACGTGTCATTCCTGTCCTGGCATGCCAAAAATTCAAAACATGTACCAAAACCATGGGATCTTTTCCTGCATTCCATCAATGGGGAATTAAACTCTGGATCAATACTTTTACATGTGCTTTAGGATGCTTACATGCCTTTTCCTGATTAAAACCTCCGTTCTAGGTGTGTGAGAGGGAGAAATGTTGGCACAAATTGTTTTTCTTACACCTCTGGCCTTTATAGAAGTTCAGCAGGATACAATCCTCTGAGTTTCCTCAGCCTCTAAATTCACTGCAATTTCCTCAGCCTCTAAATTCACTGCAATTCTTCCTAAAACTGAGGGACTCAGCTGCTGAATTAAAAATATTGCTTTACAAAGCTGAAAAGCAGTAAGGAGTGATTCTCACCGTGCAGGTCTCGATGGGTTGCTGGTGCCATCTAGTGTAGAACGGTCCTGCTGCCACCCGAGGGTGAGACACCTTTTCAAACCCTGTAAAGAGAGAGGATCAAGAAATCAATGAGGAAATGTTTTGTTGTTGCCAAGAATGCACRATTTTATAAATGTCCTTTTCCTTCTGAATGATTCTCTTGGGTCTCTCCTGAGAGAGTTCATGTAACAGATTTAATTATTCATCTGTAGATTTGAGCCTGAACTCTGCATCTCTCACTATGATATGAAACTTTGAAGTGAAACTATTAAATGAAACTTTTTGAAGAAAATGCTTTRTCAAAATCTGTGCATTTTGTCAAATTCTCCATAGGTTGATTTTTTTTTAAGATCCTTTTGAAAATAATTTCTGCATAAATACTCATCTCCTAAAGAGAATTTATGTACTTAACAGTYGAGTTATTCAAGCTTCTTCCTGCTGGGTTTTTTTCATCAGTACTTTCCCTTTCATGTTGCAGATTTTCTTGTTTATAAACTAGAAGCACAGGAAACACTAAATAAAGGAAGGGTAAGTCATCATTCCTAGTACAAGTTTTTAATAGCTGATGCTATTTGAATTGCAAGGAAAAGGAAATGCTTTGCAATTATGGCTGTTCAAAGGAAGAGGTCTTGCGAAATACTAATTGAAAGAGCTCTCACTTATCCCAATTCTATTCTGCATTCATGAGTGCTCTCCAATTCCTAATTATTTGAGCTTTAGTAGGAGATACTAATATCTCTCCAGAAAATTAATTTAGAAAATAATCCCCCTGTTTATGTTATAGTAGTTCAAACGTGGTGTTGTTATATTTAAGGGGAAAGGGGAATAAGGAGGTGTTAGAAATCTTTTTGTAGCTTAGCCCACAGGGAAAAGAACAGTGACAGCTTTCTAACACATGGGCTTTGAACTGGAAAGYATAAAAACATCAAGAAACTTTGTTTTATATATCAAGTGCCAGAAGGAAAGCTCTCTCTGGCAGAGGACCCAGAGACCTGTAGAGAACTCTTTATAAAGCAAGTAAATTAGGATTTTATGGCTATTTCATGTTGAAGCTGGGGAGCAGTTTGGGAGCTGAGTAACGGGAGTTAAAATAGGTGGTTSGTGCAGGAGGTGCAGAGTGTAGGAGCTCTGCCCCAGAGCCAGGCAGAGATGGATTGATTTCCTGGGGAGCTGCATCCCTGGGCTGGTGGCTCCCAAAGAGCTGTGGGTGCAGGGCTCAGGCAGTGCCAGGGTGAGTGACACGAGTGTTTTTGTTTTACAGCAAGACTCCAACAGCAGGTACAGCGCCCTGAGTGTGCAGCACCAGATGCTGAAGGTGGGTAACTGGTTATACTGGGAGACACAGCCTGGCTGGCTTCTGGTGTCACTGCCTAGTGCCAGGGTGTGGACAGTGCTTCCTCTTATTTTAAAATATATTTTCCTGCAGTTTTTCCTAATCAGGCTTTCCACTGGGTGATTTAATCTTATCAGATGCAATTACTTGTAGGGAATGCTGACTTATCATCCCTCACATAGATTGGCACATAAGGATTTTCTTGGACAAATTCAGCAGCTCCCAGGGGGCCAGTGCAGCTCTGGGGTGAGGTGACAGAGCCCTGGAACAGGAGCCTGCTCATCACAGAGATCATTTTGTGTTTGAAAGGAGCTGCAATGTGCATGCTTTGAATAATAACCTTCCTGTTATGAATGCTTCCTATTCATCTGCACTTATTAAACAAATTGCCAAAGACAATATTAGCCAGATATGCAGATACAGAGCTGTTCCAGTGTCCCAACTTGGTATTTGCAGAGTCAACACGAAGAACTGAAGAAACAGCACGCTGACCTTGAGGAAGATCACCGAAAACAAGGAGAAGAGTTTAGCAGGACRTTCAGTGATCACAAGGAGCGGTACCTACAGCTRCAGCAGGAAAAGGAGCAGGAGATCTCCAAGCTGAAGGGTAAATTTAACCTGGGTCTGGCTGCCCACGTTAAACTGGGTGTTTGCCATTGGGTTYGCTGTGGTGTGAGAGAGGTATTTTCTCTGTTCTCACTCACAGGTCACTTCTGCCACCTGACAAGTTACATTTTATTGATTATTTTCTGTGGCCTTTCCCTGGAATCTGTTCATATGTGCTCTGTGCTCCTGTCTGGTTTAGAGAAACAGTAAAAAATTCAGCACTTAAAAACAAGTGCTCTGTCAAGTGTCAAAGGTTGTTGAGGCAGTCCTTAATTTTGAATTGTAAGACTTGTATAAACTTGGAAAAAAAGGTTTGGTTCTTCTTTTTTGTAACTGGAAGGCAATCTAAGAATATTTGCCACTTCTAGCAGGAATTTAATGGTGTCTCTTTATGAAGTGACTTTATATACATTTTATRCTTCCTTTTTCCCTACCTGTGCCAGCTCCTCTGGAACACATGGCACCTGTGCACTTGAATGACAAATTCACTTTTAACTCTTGGCATCCAGTTTCCTTTTTAGAGATTCTGGGCAGCTTTCAGGCCTCTTCCATCCTGTTCCACAGAACAAAAGGATGGGGCTGTGTCCATCAGAGCCTTCTCTGCTGTGGGTCCCTGATACATGGGTTGGTTCTGGGGCTGTTTGCAGTTTTGTCTGCAGAGGGTCCTGCAGGCAGAGGTTCATTGTTGGCTCCACATCAACATTATGTAAAAAGTGGGAATAGAAGCCTCTCCCTGATCTCAGAAGYTTCTGGAGCATGGTGGCCATCTGGGCATCCTTTTCAAAGGAAGAGCTGGGTCCTACAGTGGAAAATTCTCACTTGCCTGATGTGATGTGGGGAAAGGGAGGAGAGTGCCTTCCTCTCTGCCTTTTCAGGATTCAGATTTCCTTGGGGATTTTGCCATCTGCAGTGCCCAGTGGGAGCAGTGATGCAGAATTCCAGGTGCAGACTGGGTGCACTGATACAAAATTTCACCAAATGTTACAATTTTCTGCTTGAAAATGTACAGCTTTCAGCAGGGCTGGGGTGAGAGATAACAAAAACTAACCATACAATTATTCTACTTAATTTTTACTACAGCAGCCATGTAGGATTTATGTAGATTGTGCCGTAGTCTTAATTTGGTGCTTGTTTTATAAATCCAGCCAGGTTTAAAACCTGTATTTTTTTTTTCATTTCTTTTCAACAGAATCCCTGTATAACTTACGGGAGGAGAACAGGCAGTTGAGAAAAGCACACCAAGACATTCACACCCAGCTCCAGGATGTCAAGGTAGGCTTTGCTYTGAGGAGAACTTTCAAGATCATTAGGAAAAATGTTCCCAAGTTTTCACGAGCCCGAAGCAGGCTGTGCTGAAGACTTATGCTTTCTGTTATGTGGGAAAAAAAGAGAGGATTGTGGCTGAACTGGATTTCATGTCTTTGGCCACCTGCACTTTAGGTGCATGCTCATAAAAAAAAAAAATAACAGAAAAGTATTTAGTATAGRAATTAAAATTGGGAATTTGGTTTTACAAGTTGAGAATTGAGTTTTGGCAAAACTCAGCGCTTAATGTGTTCCAACACTGTTTTTTTTTAAAGCATTCATCAACATCTACTCCAACTTTTAATTTTATTTTAGTCACACAGATCCTGGCCTCCAAATTTCATTCCCTGTTGTGCTCGCTTCCTCTATCTGTTTAATATGCATTCCGTGTGAAATAAATAAGTGCTGTCACTCCAGCTCAGGATTTTCTTTTCAAAACAAATTGAATTACCTTCCTAGTTTAAAACCCCCCAGAGCCTCCCTGACTGATCTTCAGGATGAACTTTACGTGAAACATGTGATGTTCTTCTTTTTGTGTAGCAGCAGCATAAGAACTTGCTGTCCCAGCACAACGAGCTTGTGGTGACATTGGAAGACCACAAGAGTGCACTAGCTGCTGCTCAGGTCAGAGAGAAAGCAGCTCCTGCGGGCTCTCGGCTTCCCCAGCTCTGTCTGTGCCCTGCTGCTGCCTGCAGCGTGCTGCATGTGCCTTTGGCGTGGGGCTGCGGCGGGATGCTGCCCTGCAGGGAGTGCATGGCACCCTGAGAGGCTGCAGCGGCTGCCAGGGTGCTCAGACAGCCCAGCAGGCTGTGTGCCAGGCCCAGCAGTGCATGTGCTCTGCAGAGAGAACCCTCCTGCTTCYCTGAGAGCTCTCTCTCTGTGCCTTTCTTTCTCTGTCCCCTCTGGTGGAACTGCTCTCAGTTGGGCATCCCTGACCTTCACATTTATCTCTTACACACACCTGGGTGATGGTGTGAAATCTCTGTGTGTGTGACTGGTGAGGCTTTCACAAAATCTCAGAATGGTTYGGGTTGGAAGGGACCTTAAAACTCATCCAGTGCCTTCCCCTGTCACGGGCAGGGACATTTTCCACTCTCCCAGATTGCTCCAAGCCCTGTCCAACCTGGCCTTGGACACTTCCAGGAATCCAGGGGCAGCCACAGCTTCTCTGGGCACTACGAATCAGAATATATATGTGGAGATGTATATGAAGGAATGAAAACTCCAGGTGGGACTCAAATCAGTTTTTAAAAGAACAGCAGCATTAAGTTTCTGAAATATCATTTGCAAGCGAATTATCCATGAAGCACAAACTGTTGCAGGCTCAGTCAGCTGTGCCAGTGCAAGCTGTGTAGGCCACAGGGAATCTGAAAATGGGAGTAATGTTGGAGCAGAGGAAGACTTTTGGTGAAAGATCAGAGGGAAAGGCAATGAGGCAGTGTGAAGTTATTTTTATTCCTGACTGATTTTCTTTTAGGCACTTTCACAGTCCACAAAATCATTAGCAGCATTAAAAGCATTGAATATTTTTTTCCCAGTTCTGCTTGTTGTGCATGTCAATATGTGTAGATATTTCAACCCAGGGAAAAATCAGAAAGTTCCCTCATAGACTGAAAATCWGAAGAATCATAATCTGCAGTACTAAACCACAGTGGCAGCAAATTGTGAGCTCTTCTCTCCCTGTCCACGTTTGCTGTGGGGTGTGAGCTGGTAACATCTGAAATTCCACAGGGCCACACGTAGGAGCTGATTTAAGGTTCACCAAACCCAAAGGGAAGCTCCCTGCACTCCTGGCTTTGATTCAGGTCTTTAATTAGCAAGCCTGTGTCACACAAAGCCTTTGTGTCTGCAGTCAGGGTGTGACATTTGTCCTGTGGAGACCCTCCAGAGAAGGGTCTTGCACATGCCTGAAGAACAGAAGGTATTTCACACTTCTGTGCAGTTTTTTTCCTCAAACCAGCTGCAGAAAGTTCCCAAGGGATTCTTTCACAGCTCYGTAAATGATCCCTCTGTTTCTAGGTGTACTCTAGACATTGAATTTGCACTAACAAATTTGTGATCTGAATTTTTAAAGCACTGGAGTCTTTGTGCTTTTCCACAGCCAGACAGATGAATTGTATATTTTAATAAACCCTGATCTGCCAGGATTAGCACCCTTTAAGGTGTGGCCTTGGATCTCAATGTTCAGTTTAGTGACTCTGCACTAGAACAGARTACTTGAGTTGTGATCTGGATGGGCACTGGTTGAATATCATGGAATGGTTTGGGTTGGAAGGGACCTTAATGCTCATCCCATTCCACCCCCTGCCTTGGGCAGGGACACCTTCCACTGTCCCAGGCTGCTCCAAGCCCTGCTCCAGCCTGGCCTTGAGCTCTTCCAGGGATGGRGAGTCCACGACCTTTCTGGGCACCCTGTGCCAGGGCCTCACCACCTCACAGTAAAGAATTTATTCTTAAYATCAAATCTAAACCTTCCCTGCTTCAGCTTAAGGCTGTTCCCCCTTGTCCTATCACTCCATGCTCTTGTCCAAAGTCCCTCTCCAGCCTTCTTGTGATCCTGTTTAGGGGGAAGGGGCAGGGAAACCTTCTCATGGGACATCTGCTGTGTATGCAGCTGGTCAACTTTTATACTCTGCCCACTGAAAAAAACCCACTTTAATTGGAAATCTTTCTGTTGCAGAGCCAGGGATTGGGGTACTAATCCTGCTGGATTTTCTTTAGAACTTCTTGATCCTGATCTTGTCCAAAGTTAAACAGCAAACCAAAYTACAACATTTTATTGTTGCAATTCAGGAAGACTTCAGAAATTCACATTTCCCYTCTTTTATTTTTTCTCTTCTTTTTTCCCCTTGCTCTTCACCACCCGTGTACTGTGACTTTCTTTGCCTCAGTTCTGTCTGTTGGCTGTTGTCTTGTCTAACACCTGTCTAAATGTTGAGGAKTTGGCATTTTCACGACGTGTAGATGCACTTTAAAACTTCTGTTTCTGAAAGAACTGCTCTTCTTTCTACCAGCAAAGGAGAARTTGTGGTGCTCTCGATTTCCCTCGCTTTAGTCTGCCAGGAAAGCTGCATCATCCCCTTCTGACACTTCTCCTGCTTGGCATGAATAAAACAACTCCTCTTCTTTGTCCCACAGAGATGTTTTTAATCCACTTTGTATGCATGTGCACTTTGGCTGAAAAGATCCTGATGGATCAGTGTAATCTAACATGTAGAGAAAAAATTACATTTTAAAAGCTCCTATCCCTTCTCCTCCCTGGAATATCGAGTCTTTCTACCACGTGTCCTGCTAGCAACTTTACTCCAAGGTGACTACATTTGATTAAGAAATTAATTTGGATGCGCTATAATTAACATGTTGGCTTTAGACTCAGGTGGAGGAATACAAACAGCTGAAGGACACGCTCAAAAAAATCCCAAGTTTCCAACAGCCGGAGAAGTTGGAAGGAGGGAATGAACAGCCCGAGGTGCGGGGCCCGTCCCCTCACAGCCACCTCCCGGAGCACCACGGAGCTGGGGCTGAGCAGCAGCAGGAGGTAAAAGGCTACAGACACCCCAGGAGTGGCTCTTGCTCAGCAAAACGTGCTGAATGTCTCGTAGGAGTGTGTGTTTAACTGTGCACCTTTGTCACTTCTGGAGGAAAGTGGTGAGGAATGGTTTCATCATGTTGAGTAGAAGGAAAATCTATTCACGATGACCTTTTCTCACACGAGTTGTCAGTGTATGTCAGCAAAATCTAAATTTTTTGAAWAAGCAGTCTCAAATTTTAGCTGTCTCAAGTATTACAGAAAAGCTTTAACAAGCTCTGAAAAAAATTTTACATTACCAAGTTCCAGTGGCACATTAAAGCCAACATATTTAACGTTGGCACACCAATGTTCAAGCAGAAAATGCATAATCTAGAAGTTAAGAAAAATCAGTTGTGATTTTGTTTTACAAGAATTCTTGGCCAGCAGAACCTAGAGGAGATAAAAATCATGGAATCATTTAGRYTGGAAAGGAACTTTAAGATTGCCAAGTCCAGCTGTGAACCCAGTTCTGCCAAAGCCAGCACTAAATTGTGTCTCTAAAAGACAGAGTTTGCTTTATAGAAATTGTATTTTGTAGAATTGTAAGAGGTTTTGTTCCACTTTGGATTAAATGAAGCTTAACCTGCTCTGTGATGGAGCTGTACAAGRCCTTGTGTAGCTGTGCAGAGCCACAAACCAGGTAGTGACATCCTTTGGCAGGAGTAGCTCATTCCAAACCAGGCATTTGGCCCTCCTGACAACAGCTCCAGGCTGGAATGAAGGATCCAAATCTCCTTGGCTCTCTTGAAACTGAAATCCATAATAAYAACATAATCCTGTGTCTGTTTTGCAGAATGAGAAGCCAAGAGAGAGAGAAGAAATAAATACCCAGGAGCAGAACAGGGCTGAGCCTTTCCACGGGCAGGGAAAGGCTCCCGAGGGSCACAATGCCAAGGAGCTGAACATCCAGGAGCAGCAAGAAGCTGGAGAGGATGAGGAACAACAGGCAGATCAGATTGAGGAAGAGCGCAAAAAGGAGCTTGAAGAGGAAGAAATGGAGCAGGCAGGGCAGCCTGAGCACCTGGAGGAGGAGCAGGACCAAGGCCCAGAGGAGCATGAATGGAAAAAGCAGGAACAAAAGGAAGAAGAAACCAACATGCTGGGTGATCACCTGCAGCCAGAGGTGGGGAGCTGTTTTCTGATTGATCAAATCTGCTGTTTAAATGGAGGAATCTCTTACCATTGCTGGCTATGTATTGCACTCACCATTTTCTAGGCAAAATCAATTTTTTATAGAAAGTTTGGGATGCAGAGCACTCACTGGTTTTTTTAGATAAAATTACTGTCATATTGATAGAAAATTTGGGATTCAAAGCACTTGGATGCAGAGGATTCAGGCTCAACTGGAGCACACTTGTACTGCTGCRCTGGCCAGATTGTAATGAACATTAATTCTGCTGATAAAAAGCAACAGATGGAAATAAAAAAAAAGAGCAGCAGATTGAATCCTATCCCACTTTAAACCTTAGGCCCATGGTGGCTGGTGAGGAGCTCAGCAGGTGGGAGTGAGGCTGGGATGGAGAACTGTCCTGCTTTGCTAATTTGATGCATCTCAGCAAATTGCAGAGTRTTTCCTTGTCAGAGATACCTGCCTTCTGCAAATACTCTGCCAGCAAAATGCTCACTGGCATTTGACAGGGAATTTTAACTGCCAGACAAACATGACTGAAATAACCAGGGGAAATCAATGTGCAGCTCTAAATAAAACCAGCAAATCCTGGATTTGCATTCTAGATTGGATCTGCAGTGGGAAATGTRTTTCACTGGTCTCACTTCAGGCTTTGTAAACACTTTCTCTCCTGGCAGATTAATTGTGTGACTCTGGTGTGATGAGAATCTGTTACTGAAGAGGTGCAGAGGCTCAGAGCAGTGGCAATGGGTTAAGCTGTGAAAYTGGAGTTACTTTAAATTATTGCTGAGTATAAAAAGATGGGCTGTGTCTCACTTAAGRCTAAAAGCAGCTCCCACTGAGATTATCAGTTAAAACAATGGAAACTTTTGCTTCTTTATCAGCCATCAAAACCTCCTYCTACTGTGTAAAATGTTGGGTGGGTTTTGTAGTATTTGTAAGAAAAGCTTGGCTTCCCTCAGCCCACAATTTCCTCTTCCTTCCCCAAATCATCCACAAACACTTCCAGTCTGTGTTCCAAAAAAATATTTAAACTTTAAGCAGGGACAGGAAAACTTAAAARTAACTTTGCTGTAATTTTGCCTACTGCATGGAGCACCTGCATGCTTTTCCCTCTGGACCCATTTCTCCCTGCTTGTTTCTGATCACTGAGAGGATGATTAATCTGTGGCTAACACATTTCTSTGACAGGTAACACCAACAAAAGCTGTGCCAATGAGACAGAAAGCAGCTTATGAGCAGCAGCTGGAGCAGCAGCATCTTGGAGCCCAGAGAGCAGAGGAGGCCAAGCAGCTCCGGCAGCAGCAGGAGTCCCTGCACCAGCAAAGGCTGCGAGGGCAGCTCCTGAGGCAGCAGCAGCTCCAGGACAGAGAGCTCCAGCTGCAGAGACAGGCAGAGCAAGGGGAAAAACTCTACAAAAACCACCTCAGGTTAAATTCTCCTGCATGAGTTTGTCATGGTTTGTGCTCTGGGTTTTGTGTTGTCAGCTCTGTTCTGTGCCCTTGTCCCTGAGAGCAGATTTCCAGAGGGTCCTATTGGCAAATTGCTTGAAGAACTGAGGGTCTGTTTGCCAAAATTCAGAGTCCTGACTTTACTCTTTGCCTGGCCCATRTCAATTAGGGCTACAGACTCCACATACAGAGACACACACGCTCAAAGTCCGTGTAGCAGCACAAAAAAATCTCTGTTCCATCAAGTATATTTCAGGAAAGGTGATGTGAGAAAATACCAGATAACAGAGCACAAAACTGGGGCCTGCTCTGGCAGGTGCTGAGAGAGGTGTGAGAGAGGCACAGCTGCAGGTGGGGGCTTTGTTCACTAAAGCAGAAAGCTTTTGTGAAACTGAAATGATGTTTGGCTTTTTGTGTTCTCAGCCAACAGGCTCATTATGATAACATGGACCAGGACATTGTGCAAGGGGAGGAAGAGCAAGGCATTCAGGAAGAGGAAGGAGGTAAGAGAGAGCTTCTGTTCTTGCCATGCTCACAGGCTCCCTGTGCACAGCCTTGCATGGSAGACTTTAATATTCATTTCATATCCAGATTGGATTCAAGTGAAACATAAACTTGCAATTTAAAACCAGAAGCTCAAATAACCGTGGCTGAACTGACAGCGAAATAGAGAAATTACTAAAGATCATATCCACAGTCCTGAAAGGAGGTGTCCTTTTGGCTTAGCTGTTATCACAGGGCTCTGTGGACCTTAGTTATGTTTCTGGCTCTGAGTGTGGGTTTGTTTGAGCTCTTTAAATTATAGAATCATGGAATCAGTTCAAATGGTTTGAGTTGGAAGGGACTCATCYCATTCCWCATCCCTGCCATGGGCAGGGACATCTTCCACTGGCCCAGGTTGTTCAATGCCCCATCCAACCTGGCCTGCTCTTTTAATTTCCSTTTCCTATTAGGAGTAAACCAATTCTGTGAGCATTATCTGTTCAGGTAGAGGCTGCCCACTGCTAAAAGCATGTGTGAAACCTTGTCTATAGGAGACTCAAAAGGATAACTAAAAACTGCTGTAATGCAATAATCACCTAAAACATTCCTCAGCTTATGAACACGACAACCAGCACCAGGATGAAGGGGAAGATGATGATCAGAATAATGCAAATGARCAGCAAGAAGCACAACATCAGGCAGAAAATCAGCAGGCTGATGAAKCAGTGAGTATGAATTAAGATGCTGTGGATTGCAGTTGTTACTCAAGTGAGAAGCCACAGGTCTCGTCTGACATAATTGCATCCTACAGAAATGAGATAAGCACAGGTCTGCTAGGAAGACAGGCTTGACAGTTGTAAACAACATCTAAAGTATWTTTAAAGCTGCCCTTCCTGATTTGGGAAGAAATAAAAAAATAAATACATCCTTGTTGGAAGAAAGTTGCTTCCACATTCCTTTGATCTGTGCTTCAGTGAAATAAAGGATTTGGTCTTAGCTGRGGCTTGAACAGGTACATTTGGCTTCAAAAAATAACAGTAGTGGCCAGTCAGAAGGAGGGGAGGATGATGTTTTTCATTATGGCATTAATTAAAGGCCAACTCAAGAGCCCCTGTAACCAGCTGGAGTCAGCACAGAGGAGTGAGGTCTCAAAAGAGGATATTGGTCAGCGCTGACGTGAGCCCAGGGATCAACTGCACAGAGCTCTGGGGGCAGGACAATCACCCTGTGCCTCCCCCAAACTCCAGCTTTCCTGGTGCTGTGCAACATCAAGTGCATTTTCCTTACTCCCCTCCCCTTTGGCAAATTAAGGTGTACACTGACTATTTCTAAAGGATCTTTAACTCGTTGGCTATAAAAATATAAAACTGCTTTTACTGAATGATAAGCAGACAGAAGATGCTCTTTTTCTGTATGGCAAAGACGAAAAGTGAGTGTTTTGTTTCACTGCAGACACGGCCAAGGTCAATAGAGCAGGACAGTCTGATTACTGAAAAATCCCATCAGCTTTTCGAAGCTGTGAGCATTTAAACTCTTATCTTTGTGCTGTGGCCTTATCAGGCACTGTCAGGGAGTCAGTAAACATGGGTTGTTCAGCAGCCCCTGTGAAAGAAGTGCTCAGATTCACTCTGCATTTCAGCAGACAGGTGCTGTGCTGCTGCTCTGTCCCTGCTCACTGCTGAGGTTCTTCACTGACCCCTGATCCTGCAGAAATTCCAGCTGCTTCCAGTGGAGATGGATGGAGCTGGCTCTGGCACAGCCCCTGCTGCTCTTCTTTTGAGGGAAATGCAGTTGGACCATGAGCTAAAAGTATTTAACACTCACTCCTGTAAATTGCAGAAGGSAGCCATGGAAGATGTGAATCCTGCTGATGACCCCAACAATCAGGGAGAAGATGAATTTGAAGAAGCTGAGCAAGAGAGGGAAGAAAACCTCCCCGATGAAAATGAAAAGCACAAGGAAACGGGTCAGAAACAAGGACATCCAGGAATGGAAGAGCACTTGGTGGTGGGTAAAGGCAAAGGAGGCACCTCTGGGGCCCCTTCAGGAGGTTCAAGCTGCCCATTTCAGCTGTGCTGAAGCTGTAAACTCCTCCAGGCAGAGAGAGAGTTCTGTGTTTTTATKGCACTGGTCTTTAATGGTGTGAATATTCCTTCGTCTTCCTGCTTAGTGTGGAAAGTTCTCCTTTGTTCTGGGAAGTGATTTTTCTTAAAATCGTCCTGCTATTTTTTAATTGAGGGCAATTTTAAATCACAGAGCTGGGCTCTCACTGCTTCTAATGAATGCACTAAAACTCCTTCTGCCATCATTGTTGCTTGAGCTTTACTGGGAGTTTTAGTTCCAGAACAAGAAGCTTTAATCTTCAGCCCTCTAGTTATTAGGCAAGYTCATAGAACTGAATTTTTATGTGATCTTTGTGCAGATGGCAGGAAATCCTGACCAGCAGGAGGATAATGTGGATGAACAATACCAGGAGGAGGGAGAAGAGGAGGTAAGAACACAGACCTAAGGCAGGTGGAGGCTCAGGTAGCAGAGYACAGCTCTGTTTAAACTCACCCTTGGTACCTTTGGAGCTGCAGGRTGAACCCAAATCACTTTGTGTGACTTTACCAATCCTGGGAAGTCTTTGCCATTCCTCTGCTGTCCCCTTCTGGATACACTCTGGGTTACTCACGCTCATGTCTGCAATCCATTACTCTTCCGTGCCACACAGCATTAATTGTGCAATAATTGAAAAGATTAAGCCTTTCACAACACAAGGAAAATTTCCTGGAAACCTCAAGGTCACAGAAAACCTCATTAATCTCTAATCACACACTGCAGTTCTGAGCAAACTGCTTCCTTGGGCGCTTATTCCTTAGCTCTGACTTTGATTTATCTGTGCTCCTCCTGAGCAATCCAAGCTGCAATTCTGGGCTTGGTGGGGAAGCTGACAGCRCATTGAGCTGGAGGAGAGGGAGGGAAGGGACTTTTTCCTTCATGTCATGCTCGTTGTGCAGGCACCAACCCGAGCCACCCTACAGCCCCTCAGTAGGGCCTGATTAATCCCTGCTCCTGCTTCCCACAAAATCCCCTTCAGAAAAAGCCGTGGAATTGGCTGCTGTAGCTCCGTGGTGGGGAGCATTTTGGATTAGTTGGGATGCACTGAGCACTCACCAGTGCAAAATGCTGCTACTTCCATCAAAYCAGGCCCCTGGGAGCTGGGAAGAGCTGGCCCTTGGCAGCTGCACTTTGGCTTACAGGAAGCAATTCATACCCATCATAAAGGGCTGTGCCCAATGTTCTTACTGGAATTGGGAAAGAGGGAGCAGGGACTGAGTGAGAAATCAGAGATACTCTAGTGGGGAGGAGTTTCTTCAGCAGGTTGGCTCAAATATTATCCATTGCTGTTCAGGTCTTCCCCAAAGTGATYGTGGTGTGATGGATACCTCTGACCCTGCTCACAGGAAAGCACAGCAAAACTTCCCAAAAGAAAATCACACTTACTTCAAAATGTTCCTCTTTCAAATTTGCACCTAACATGGGAAGTGGGGCATGGATTGAACGAGAGTGCTGCCAGAACAGATAGAAATGAGAGATCCAAAAGCTGAACATCAGGGACACAGATTCAGCATGAACTGCTCTCTCCAAGGATAGCAGTAGAAGAGATTGTCTGTGAGAATTGTATTTACAAGGTAGATGCTCTCAGAAGAAGTGAGTTTCCCAGTTGCTGGATGGTTATGGTTCCTTTTATCCTCTTTTAACCTCTCCATGCCCTCTTCTCCCTTCTTTAGAATCTTCATTCTGTAAAAGTTTTGCTGTGCAAATGAGTCCAGTTATGCCACAGGCYGCTCTTTAAAAGGCAATTAAACCACACAGAACATCTCTTGTGCTTTGCAGGTCCAGGAAGACCTGACTGAAGAGAAGAAGCGTGAGCTGGAGCACAATGCTGAGGAGCCCTATGGGGAAAACGAGGAAAATGTGAGTCCTGTGGAGCCCAGGGGTCAGGGCTAAGGTCAAACCCTGATCATGGCACAGGGATGTCACATGAAATCATTGCTTTGGCTCACAGACCTTAACATTTCATGCTTTCCCAAATTCCTTTTGCTCACCCTTCCATCTCCAAGTCATTTCTTGCTTCCTGGAGGGAGGGCAGAAACATCTTTTCCTATTTCTGCCCATCAGCTTTCCCAACTCCAGCTGAAAGTCATTTCATGGCCCTGAAATGAGCTGTAAGGAACCTGGCATGGAATCTGTGTCATTTTGGATTGTTTTGCTTTCCCAAATCAGGCAGATGATAAGAATAACAGAGGGACCGACCAAGAGCAAGAAATGCAAGAAGACAACAACCAKAAAGAAATTCATGAAGAAAATTAYGAGGAGGAAGAGGAGGAGGAGGAGGAGGAAGGCAGAGCTGTTGCAGCAAAAACTCGCAGACGAGGGGAGATGTAGTCCCCCTTCATTTTTCTTTTTCCAGTACACAAATTCCTGTTGTGGAATTTTTGTTGTTTTTTTTTAAACAATTTTTTAGGGTATTTAATTTCCAAAAGAAAAGAAAGTTTGTGTTTTACACTTTTTACTTTTGTATTAGATGCTCTCCTATGTTTATATGAATATGGTATTTTGATACTCTAGATTAGGATTTCTTTTCTAYCCAGGCTGTACATAACCAGACATCCTCTAGGTTGAATTTTTTGTAATTCTGGGCACRGTTTTTAGAGGCCATTTTGGATACACATTCACCTTGTCCAGGTCTGACAGAATGTTTGCTGTAATGTCAGATCCACTCAACACTGAAGGAATATTCCTAGTGCCTAAATCCAGTTGACTTCAGTCACTCCAGCTCGYTGTCTTCCACAAATTCCTTCTGACCAAGGGCTGGTTATTCCTTGTAACCTCACAATACAAGCACTGGTCGAGCTCCTTGCAGGACCAGGCCTTTTCAAGRTGCAGAACAGTTATAAAATATGCAAGTTTTCCAAGCCTTCAGAATGCAGCCAAGCTAACAGCTGTTAATTTTGGCAGCTGTTTCTCTGCGGTTCAATTATGCATTTATTTTAATGAGCATTCCCAGGTACTCCAATTACACGCAGTACCTGGCTGCTCATGCAAATGGGRGTGTGCTGAGAGGAGCTGGGAGCTAAAAACCAATTTAGACTTGGGGCTCCGTTATGCCAAATCAAAACACTACAGCTGTCACAGGGATGAAGATTTACAGCAGCAGCAATTTCCTTGTCCTCATTAAAATATAAAATATTTGACCAGAACTGGAACGGTGTTGCCTCAGCACCRTGTTTTCTGGAGGGTGTGGTGACTGAGCTGACACTGTTGGTTTAAGATGTAGAACTAAGGCCTTTATACTTTTTTTTTCTTATTTATTTTTAAAAAAAACTTGCTGGAAGGATTTCTGTGTGCCCCAGGGTGAGACTCAGAGTCGAGCCAAAGCCCACAGAAATTGCTCAGCCCAGCAAACACCTCCAGCACTGCATGCTGAAACCTGAGGGGAGGGGGTGGGAAATGACACAAAAATTGTGCCTTGGTGTGGGCTACCCTGAACATAATCCCAGTGCATGAATTATACAATATTTGTATTGGTACAGACACTAGTTATTTAATATATGGTAAAGGAGAATGGGAATCTGGATTTCCCAGGCTATGCCCCATTGCTGGAAATGAGGCACAGGGGAGCTCCCCATCAAAGGGTGTGTTAATATATAAAAAAGGAGAGGGAGTGGGGGTTTTTCCCTTTTTTTTTTTTTTTAATAATGATGCATAGCAATGTTTTTAGTTCAATTTTTTTATATGAATGTAATTTAATTCATTTTTTTTTCTACTAACTTGATTATATTATGTTTTATAGTTGGTTTTCATTCTTTGCAGTTTTCCTAATTGTCCCAGATTCAGTGCTTATGTTTCATAGGAAGATTTTTGTCAGTATTTTGGGTTTTCTAGTCACCATAAATCAGATTTACCTTATGTATAAAAAAAATAAAGTTTACATGAGACTGTAAAATGTATAATATGTACATAATCTTCAGAATACAATTATTTTGGTAAATTGGCCTGTATTTTTAATGTCATCCTTGCAGTATTTAATTATTTGAGGCATAATAAAACTTGACTGCAGTCAATAAATGAGAATGTAGTTACTRATGTTTCACAAGCATGAGGGTTTGTGTTGGTTTTCCTAATGATGTGTTTGTGTTCCGTTTTAATAGAGTTAGCAGGGACAGGCAGGGGAAGGGATGGAGCTGGGAGGCATTTTTGGGGAAGTGGAATATTTTTGTTGATGGACATTCCCATATTCCCACCTCTGTGCCTGACCAGGGTCACTTAGTGCCAGCCCCAGGGGGAGTGGGGGTCACTGAGCTGCTCCTCAGTCGGTGGAATTCAGGCAATGCCAAATGCTTGGCTAAATTGAGAATTTAAAGACTTTCTGGGACCTAAAAAATCGAAAGTGCTAAAACCTGTCCCAGGGAGAGGTGCAGAGGGAAGCCAGAACAGGGATTTGGAGAAGGATTTTGGGAGGAAACCTGAGAACTGAGACCAAATTGGGCCCAAGTTTAGCCCCAGAGTGCTGCTGAGCCTGGGCAGGGAGGGAAGGACCATCCACGTTTGGTGTCACTGGGTCACACTGGATAACTGAGCACAGCACACGATCCTCTGCAGGGCAGGGCATCCCCCTGATGCCAAATCCAGCTCCATAAATCAGAACCTGGACAGAAYTGAGAGAATCCAAAGCAGTTCTGTYATTGCAGRGCCTTCAGGGCCATCCAGGGCAGTCCCACACCCACAATGGACAATGGCTCACGGGTTTTTCACCCTTTCTCACTTTTGTCCATTTGCACATCGGGATTTGCTGAATCCTCCAATTGCAGCTGCAGCCAATGCAGTCATTGACTCCAGGTTGGCTCCCCCAATTCTCTGTTGTTTCCATCTCTTGGGGCCTGGCCCAGGGAGGTGTCCTTGAGTTTGGGGCTGCAGAGGAATTGTTTTTGTAAAAATGGAGAGCAGGAGCTCAGCACTGTCTGTGGAGTCTGGAGTTAAACACTGGACAATCACGAGGTTACACACACATGAAAAATAGAGAAACTGAAATCCTAAAGCATCACACCCAGCTGGCAGGGGCGCCAAATGGCAAAGCTTTGTGAAAAAAGAGAATTTTCCCCATTSCTCACAAGCTTTGGGCCCATCTGGGTCTCACTGGTGCTGATGGATTGGCTGCACCATCCCTTTGCACACAAATAATTCACWGAGGGCCCAAAAAGGGACAGCTCAGCCCCTTCCCCGCCCTCCCTGCAGGCAGCAAACCCTGAAATGCAATACCTAATAAGAGGATTAAGTAGAGAGGAATGCAGTTTAATATTGCATTAGCAGCAGCAGATCCTCCCCAGCCACTGCAGCTCCCGCACAGGATACAATGTCCACGCTTGTAAGGGAACCTCATTGACATCTGAGCAGCCAAGAAATCTGTTGGTGGCTTTTAATGACCCCCAGAGCTGTTTCCACACGCTCACATCATCTTACCAACAATTTACCCTCATCAATTAATTATTGCCTTTAGGGCCTTTCAAAGCCTGGAACCCGTTTCAGCTGCTTTGCAGCAATTCTGATCGAATTGTAAATCTTGGTACGAAGCAGGATTAAACCTCCCCAGCCCCAAAAAAAAAGGGGTGCAGAACCAGGGCACAGAAATCCAACACAAACAGGAGCAAAAACCTTCTCAAAGGATCCAGGAGTCAGGAGACCAGGCTGATCAGAGGGATGGAGCATCTCTGTCAGGAGGAAAGACTGGGAGAAATGGAATTGTTGGAAATGCCCTGGAAATAGTTCAGGGTGACCCAACTGTGACCTTCCAGTGCCTGGAGGGAGCTGCAAGAAAGATGGGAAGAGATGATTTAGGAGGGCCTGTGGTGACAGGATGGGGGAAATGGCTTCAAAGTGACAGAAAGTGAGGCTGGATGGGATATTGGGCAGGAATTGTTCCCTATGAGGGTGCCCAGAGGAGCTGTGTTTGTCCCTGGATCCCTGGCAGTGCCCAAAACCAGGCTGGGAAAGGTGTCCCTGCCATTGCAGGGGGTTGGAACCGGATGGGTTTAAGGTCCCTTCCAACTCCAAACATTCTGTGATTCTGGGATTCAGAATGAGTGGCTTTGAGTCCTTTGTTGCCAAATCCTGCCCGTGACATTTGCAATAATTTCCCCTCCTGTGCCCGAGTTTCCCCGTTATCACATCAGGGATACATCCTGATCAATGAGGATGTATGAAAGATTCATCCAGAGGTGGATTAAAGCATCCATGCTATGCTAATRCCTCCCATTTAAATACTATAAAAAGCTCAGTGGGCTCTTGACTGAGCCATTAAGMGAACGAAAGGCAAATTGGAAATGTCCAGGAAAAAAAAAGGAGCGGAATTGCGCCGCGCTGTGAAACACCAGGCAGCTCCCATAAAATCAATGRCACTGCCTGGCAGTAAATTGCTGGGGAGATGAGCTTTATTTCATGGCTCATAAGTGAACATGAATCTCCAATAACCTGTGGGCCCTGACAGCTGTGCCTCTGCACKGAGCTGGATTTTTGGGAGCTTTCTCCATCCCCTGGAGCCACTCCCGTGGCAGCAGCTGATGCCTAAAACAGGGYTCACCTGAAACAGAGGCCAGACAAAGTGAAGRGAATAAAAGCAGAGAAATTTAATCCAGGCCTGCTGGTGCATTGAGGGCAGATAAAGCCTCTTCCTGAGGCTACASCCMAAATGGACCTYGAGTYGTGARATCTTCCCCTTTTATGAGTTCAGTCTTATKAACAYATCRGACCCCAATTCTCCRRTGACATCATCAAGAAGTGATGTCAACCACCCCAATTCTCTGTYRTTTCCATATTTTGGGGCTCTGAGGCAGYRAGGTGTCCTTGGGTTCAGGCTCAGAGAGGAATTGTTTTGTCTAAACATGAGGGAACAGCAGCCTTGGTGCTGAACTAGAAAAGTACAAGAATACAGMTACATGAAGATATAGAAACTAAAAAATCCTAATGCATCACAGCCACYCCTCCAGCAGGGAAGATCATCCCACTGAGATCCGTGGCGCTGCTGTGATTAGGATTTTTAGTTTCTCTGTTTTCATTAATCTGTATTTTCATGCTTCTCTAGTACAGCACTGAAGCCGCTGCTCTCCCATCTTTAGACAAAACAATTCCTCTCTGAGCCTGAACCCAAGGACACTTTGCTGCCTCAGAGCCCCAAAATATGGAAATAACAGAGATTTGGGGGGAACAAGTTTGGGGGAATTGACATCATCACCTGAAGGTGGAATTGGAGAATTGGGACATGATGTGTGAATGAGACTGAACTTATAAAAGGGGAGGATCTCGTGGCTCAGGGTCCATTTTGGGTGTAACCTCATGAGGAGGCTTTGTCTGCCCTAATGAACCAGCAGGCCAGGATTAAATTTGTCTGCTTTTATTCTCTTTGGCCTCTGTTTCAGGTGAGTTTTGTT